CGCGCATCTTGCATTTTTCATCAAGCAGCGAGTCTTGAAAATGCTTTCTTGGTATGAAGAAGCAGTGCATTTTTCTCACTTAAAATTAGTCATTTTTCTTTGTCTAATTAATGGCTTTCTCAAGGATTAACGTCGGTTATAACCGACGTTCGGTTATTTCGGTTTCGGTTATAATTGATGGTCGGTTTGCGGTTAATAACCGAAAGCGATGCATGCCTAGTCTATGCATCTAACGATGTAAATCTGAGATTAAAACGTCAAGTCTACGTTCTTCTCTCTCTTGCAAATGTCGTTCAGATGCCTACACTTAGAGAAGCTTTGGTGTTTAACTCAATGAATTATACGCTGTAAAAGAGACCATTTATATATGTTGACTTTTCATCACTCATGTTCTTTTCACTGATGTCAAAAACAGAGATTTCTCTTCTAGAACAAGATATGCGTGCGCAAACATTGCCATACATGAGACGTAATAGAACGAGGATTATATACTTTACACTCTTCAGGGTTCACAACAGAAAAGAGAACAGAACAAAGACCGTGTCCTCTTTTCTTCCTCGTTCTGTTACGTCTCATGTATGTCAATGTTGTTGATTTAGAAAAAACTAACCATTTGAGAAAAAGGCAGCATCCATATTTTATTCAACTAAGGTTAATATTACTCAGCGTTTCGACTGTCGATACTGTCATTTTCAAGAGAATATACTTGGATTTTAAAAAAAGGATTTTTTTCGTGCTATCATAACAAATGCGTCTGAATGTCGATATATGCACCGCATTAAAATGTGCTATACGCTAAGGCTCTAATACTCGTACTAACTATAGAAAAAGAACGAAGTTTCTTTATCACTCTTTTCTTTTCTACTATAGAGAAAAAAGTTCTTTTTCTATAGTTAGTACGAGTATTGTATATATAAACATGTTTTCTCTCATTCTGTTAATAATCTCTGAATGTCTAAAACTCTAACAATCTAAATGACTAGATGTCTAAAACTCTAAGTGTCTAAAGCGCTAAAAGTCTGAAACTCTAAATATGTAAAACTCTAAAACTCAAAAGCTCTAAATGTCTAAAGGTCTAAAACTGTAAAAGTTTAAAAGTCTGAATGTCTAAAACTGTAAAAATCTAAAGCTCTTAAAGTCGGAAAGTGTAAATGTCTTAAATTCAGAAAATCGAAAAGTCTATAACTCTAAATGTCTGTAGATTGTAGAATATAGTTTGAGGGTATTTAAAAGTAGGGTAGCGCTATTGCCACTCTCTGATAGTGTCAACAAGGGCTATTGCCACTCTCTGAGAGTGTCAACAAGAGCTATTGCCACTCTCTGAGAGTGTTCTTTATTATGTATGAAAACTTAATTGTTCTACTTTATTTATTGTTAGTGTTTTCTTAGTCCTGCCGACGTTGATAAACAATGGAAACCAATAGCAATGCAAGCACTGATTCATGCTGACCTCCACAACTTCAATAACCAGTTGTGCCTTAGGAAAAACAATCTTAGAACTTCAATGTTAAGAAATTCATAAAGTGTACTGGAACTTACGCCCAAAAGTAAAAATACGACGGCTCCTGTTGACACCCTCAGAGAGTGGCAATAGCTCTTGTTGACACTCTCAGAGAGTGGCAATAGCCATTCCGTTAAAAGTATATAGTTGTAGATTGTAGTCCAATCTTATTTAAAAGTTATTTTCTTTTTTATTTCTACTTCTTCGTCTCGAAACAATTCTTTTTTGTATTCTGAAACCTTTTGAAGTGATTGTTATTGTGTGCAATCAACAATAATGCTGGTAATGTAGAAGGAGAACGTTACTTTCTATTGACTTTGTGTGAAAAGATGACTAAGCACTCAGGTAAGCATTTTATGATACTCTTTTCTTAACAAAAAGCCCCTTTATCAGCAGTTAAGAGTAAAAGGCAAAGTTACGAATGTTGTTTGTGCGAGATAGAAGACAGTTAGTGGAAAAAGCACGTGAGTCACTTTCCTGAGCTTCTGAGTCACAGCGTACAGCGAAGAACGCAACCAGAATCGCAAGAGAATACCTGCTGATATTAAGAACATATTAAACTAAACTTAACATATTATAGTAGTAAAACGAACAAATAGATTTTTGTTGACCTGCATTCGTCCGCTTCAAATCGTTTGTTTTGTGCTCGCCATATAAATCATATTTCTACTGTGAAAAAAAAAAGGTACGATACGGAACTTAAAGGGGGTTTCGTGCACATTACGAAACTTAAAAATGGTTTTGTGCACGCTACGAAACTTAAAAAGGGTTTCGAGAATTGAAACCATTTTTAAACCCTTTTAAAGGTTTCGTAAGAAATCTACGAAACCTTAAAAAAGTTTCCTAGATCCTTGATAAATCCTTTTAAGGGTTTCGTACATGCCTCCGAAACCTAAAAAGGGTTTAGAAATGGTTTTAGTTCTCGAAACCTTTTTTTTTTCAGTGTACTAGCTAATATTACCTTCTGCCTCTGTCTCTCTCTCTCTCTCTTCACGAGATTCCCTGAAAGTTGGGCTTTCGGAGGTGTTGCACCTAAGATTAAAAGTCACCCACAAACCATCGGAACATGTACGGTGTTCATACTATTCTACATCGTATTCATAACAAATTTATAAAAAGATTCACAAAACTTTTGCGTCTTCCGGCATGGCTTTTACTAAACGGTTGAACAAGAAAATTGTTTTCTAATCTTTTCCATCCCGTTTAGGAGAGAAAATTCGCTATATTCGCAGGTTCTTAACGCTATTTGATGTTTTGGAGTGAGTTTTAATGCTTTTAACTTTAGGTGAAACAACTCGGACAGCATAGTTTTCGTGGAACTCGGTGTCCATCACTTTTATGAAGTATTTTTTCAGACACAGACATTGCCATTAGATCCAGCATGGTCATTGTGGTCATCGTCTAAATAGCGTTAAACGAAAATTTACTGAATATGTTTGAAGATTAATGAATTCAGCCCGCTCTTAGTCGAGACTAACAGCCACTAAGATACAATAGTGATTAAACCAAACGATGAACGAGTATTTCTGACTCAGCTAAAAGGCACAAATGATACGAAATGGGAAGGGAAGAATAATATGTAGATGCGAGCAAAAGTATTATGTAATATTAAGCTCAGTTACTGTCGCGAAATTATGTCACTGGATCTACGTTGGTTTGTCAAAATAGAAAAAGTAGAAAATATGGTCTAGCAAGAAAGAGTTATTTCGTTCTACCTTGCAATCATGGCTGAAACTGTTGAACAGACTAAACTTATCATAATTTGCATTTGAAGTGGATAAAGAAAATCACAGGGGTGTCGAACCGAGCGTCAATTAACTTAAATACACCGTCAAGCTATAAAGACTGAATTTGATTATAGACCTTCTTGCTGGTTATCAGGGCATAATCTGCACAAAAATTTATATTGATTTTACAAAAGCGGATGACAGTTTTAATGATGCCTGTAGTGAACTAAAACATCATACTGAGCATTATATTTTTTTTTGTAAATTGAGCTTTATGCCCATTCGCGAAATAGGGAGAAAGGGATACCAAAGTTTCAGCTATCTCCACTAAATTTACCTTTCTCTCTCTGCGGTTGAGTTTCACTAAAACGCCGGCTATAGTAGAAAAATTTAAAAAATTGTTTTTTACATTCCTAGTGTCAGTAGCACGTTACTTTTAAACAGGTTAATCCAAACTAAATCATCCAACACCTTATACAGACAGTTTTCTGACTTTACTCACATGTAATGTTTTTACGACATGTATAGTGTTAGAAAAATGAAAATGTAAACGCATTTATTTGGTATTTACGTTTTGTTGTCATTCATTTTTCTTTCAATTTTTTAATAATTTCAGGTATTCTAGAACAGATTTATAGGTAAGACTATCACAGGATTCACCATTTTGTAATTTTTGTCTAATTAGAGATGAACTGACATCCGTTAGACTCTTTTTATTTTCGTCATTGATTGGAACATAGAAAATATTTGGATTCACAACAGTCTGAATTTTATTTTCTTCATAACCTGGACGGTAGATAACAGCTACACCGTATTCATTTCTAGCTAATAATAATACATCAGAACATTTGTTAAAATGATCTAAGCCACATACATATATCAAACGGATCGGACGGGTTACTAGTCCTTGGCTGTAAACAACTATGTCATTTATGTAGCGACGTAACTGTATACATACACCAGGAAAATCAACAAATCCCGTTGCCTTACATTCGGCTTTATCCACGCAGATCCAATCTTGAACATTGGCTTCTTTAATTGCTTCTTCACACATACGAATACGATGTTCAGATGGTATATGATTACTACGTAATTTTTCCTTCACATAACTATCCTGTGTTGGCGATAAATATCCAGCTAACACTCGAAAATGGTATTGCTGTTCAAGATATTGTTTTGCTTGTATCAGACTTAATACGTGACTTTTGTGAACGGGATTTAACGAACCTGTCGTTAGTAATACACAATGATTTTCATTCTTAGTTCTACGAGGATCCTGCGTATGACGAATGTTATCCATCACAATATCAACATTAGTTGAATCTTTAGTATACGTCAGAGACATTCTGATCGGGAGTTGTTATTTGCAGAGTGTATGTCACTTTATGTGTCCAGTTGAACGAATTGATTTAAAAGAGTTGTAGATTGTAGTTTAATGTTAGCTAAAAGTTATTTTCTTTTTTATTTCCACTTCTTCGTTGCGAAACAATTTTTTTGTATTCTGAAACCTTTTGAAGTGATTGTTATTGTGTGCAATCAACAATAATGTTGATAATGTAGAAGGAGAACGTTACTTTCTATTGACTTTGTGTGAAAAGATGACTAAGCCCTCAGGTAAGCATTTTATGATACTCTTTTCTTAACAAAAAACTCCTTTATGAGCAGTTAAGAGTAAAAGGCAAAGTTACGAATGTTGTTTGTGCGAGATAGAAGACAGTTAGTGGAAAAAGCACGTGAGTCACTTTCCTGAGCTTCTGAGTCACAGCATACAGCGAAGAAAGCAACCAGAATCGCAAGAGAATACCTGCTGATATTAAGAACATATTAAACTAAACTTAACATATTATAGTAGTAAAACGAACAAATAGATTTTTGTTGACCTGCATTCGTCCGCTTCAAATCGTTTGTTTTGTGCTCGCCATAAAGAAACGTCACGTTCTTGCGGAAAAAAGATGATGTTCTTGTGAACAAACGTCAACTCCTTGACCAAACAGGTAAACTTCTTGTGAACAAACGTCCAAACTTGGAGAAAAAAAGATGAAGTTCTCGTGAACAAACGTCAAGTAGTTGAAGAGTTAGAGTTTTAGGCATTAGCCTTTTAGCGTTTCAGACTTTTGGAGTTTTAGAGTTTTAGACATGAACAATCTGTCTCGGTGTCCATTTATTGTCATCCGTCCATTTGGCTTATCACACTGAATTGTCGACTCATTGAGCAATACAGCTTAATAAGTTGACGTGCCAGCAGACTAAGAACGTTAAAAAGGTTGACTGAGCTGCTACAATGAAATTTGCCAGTAGATAGGAAAGCGATTCAAGATCCTTTTCCAACATCGAGTAATGAATTACCACTTTTCTGGTTATGTAATTCCGAAACGCATTCTACCCATACTGCATATACAGATGATGCGCCCAGGGTTTTTGTGCAAGGAATAATGGATAAAACAACAACAGCTTTTTCAATTATTCGGAGGGTATGCACCCTCCCGTTATTTGCTCCCCTGGATGCGCGGTTACTGTGTTACCTCGCTATGGAGTGTTCAGTAACTTCTAATTCTTCATGTGAAAATTCAGTTAATTCAATAAAAATTATGTGTAATTTTTTTGTATTATTTTTCTTTTGGTTTTAATTAAATTTCAGTTCTGAGAGAAAAGTGTAGCTATTGGCGAGTGCGGTACGTATACTAACAGACAAGGGAAAGAAATAACAGAATAAAAGTAAATTGTAAAAAGGATTAGAGAATGGGAGATATGGGTTATTTCATTTTTATTTTAGTTCTTTGACTAACACATCCTTGTGGGTGTATCTCTAATTCTTCTCGAGCCATTTTTAGAATTTACTTTTATTCTATTTCTTTTCCTTCTCTATTAGTATTCTAGAATCGCCTTTAACAAAACAAAAACAACTTGTCGTTTACCGATTTTTTCTCGATTCAAGTCCATCCAAAATTTTTCCAATCCAGACGAGTCCACGGTCTTGAAAGTTTGAGTCCAGTCCAGTCCGAGTCCATGAAATCCAAAAAATCTGAGTCCAGTCCAGTCCACATGGATTGAACTGGACTATGGACTCAGTCCAGTCCATAAGGAGCTCAGATACCTAGTCGCAGCTCTATTTTCATATATACTCAACAGATTGGAGATCTTTTAAAAAAGAATGGAAAGAGACAGATTAATTCATAGCTGATTAATTTATGAAAAATATTTCTTTTTCATTCGACGAAATTTTAGGCATTTTTTTTATTTCTCACTTAGTGGCTATCTCTTCCATCCGAAAAGTAGAGAAAGCCCGTAGAGCAAGTATATGTATGCCACAAAACATGCAAGAGAAGAATACACATCGTCTACACACTCATTACTTTGTTCTAAAAGTATTGTGAAGAACAATCGACCTTTATTCTCGTTTTTCTGTATGTTTTAATCTCCATTTTCTTGATGTGTCATTAGAAAGTTCAAAAATCGAATAATTTGTATGTTTAACTTCTAGATAAGTACACAGCATTGTGAGGTGAAGAATAATACCCATCATGGTACACAGGTAACTGTTTCTTACATCGTGCTCTAAATCAAATGCTTCATAGCGAAAACGTAGAACTCATATCAAAGATGGAATACATTATCAACGATCTGGACAGCCAATTAGCTGAATTACAACAGAATTACATTCGTTCGTTACCCGAGAATAAAAGAACATCAAACTAACTCGCAGTGCAAAAGTAATTGTCGAAATCTTCAGCCATAGTTCTCCGCTCAGGAACATCGTAGAAAGTTCATTCTTTTTCTGGTTGGAAGAGCAACGCCTGAACTTCAACAAACAAAGGAAACAAAATTTTTGGGATCGGCTTTGATGAAGAAAAACGTGCGATACTCGTTAAAAAAGCTCGTGCAACTTTTGTCGTCTTCAAACGTATCTCTCGCATCAAATCTATTTTTCCCTATAACAGAATACGTTTGAAATTATATAATTATAGAAACTAGAAGTGGTTTAATCACTCTTCCAAATGGGGTATGGTAAATTATACTTTGATCCGCTTTTCGATCGGAACTTTGCAAGTTTTTCATTAGTTTCAAAACACAGGTAGTTAGATTTAATTAATAATTTTCAGATACTGGACGAATATTTCTCCTTTTTCTAAAATACATTTTCTGCAACAGTATGCAATTCTCTACAAATTCACGTTAGTTTTAACCTTTACTAACATGTTTAGAGCCCTGATATAACGACTTTTTCTCCACATCCCATCTTTCCCATGCAAAGTAGGATCAATATCAAAACTAAGACTTATAATGCGCTTTATTTACCGTTATAGAATTCCTGAGAAACTTCGTACAGTAGGGAAGTCAATAGAATTTTACACGGGCTACTTTCTCATCTATTTGGTTTTCAAAAAAACGTTTTTCTTCGGACTCTAGTAAAAAGATAAAGGAAAAAATACGTTGCAAGAGCTTTTTTAACGACAATTGGTATCGTACTTTTTTCTTTCTCAAAATCAATCTCAAAAATTTTGTTTTCTATGTGTTTTGAAGTTCAGACGTTGCTCTTTCAACTAAAAAAAAAAATGAACTTTCTACGATGTTCCTGAGCGGAGAACTATGGCTGACGATTTCGGCAATTACTTTTGCACCGCAAATTTATATCGAGATCAGCCCATGGATATCCTAAAATTCGCTAAACTAAAATAGAATATGGGTGATCTCGTCTCGATGAACAACTTTTTAGAAAACCTCAAACGATCAATAAGCCACCACCCGTTGGATACTTTTCAGGTTTTAATGTACATTAAATAAAAATAAAAGGTAAAATGCATGATAATATATTGAGATTTGTCTGTATTATACTCCATGAAACAATGAAATGGTGGGTAAAAAGCATACAAAAAATAGGGCATTGTAAGACGGCAAAGATGGAGCAGAATTTAGTTTTCTATATTTTACACATCATTCGACAGAGAATCGCGCGCTCATCAAGAATATGTGTTCCCGGCCTCTCAAAACCGTTTCCTCGCTATACTATATACTATGTCAAAAACCCGGTTTTTCACGCCATTTTTTAAATTTGAGTTTTCTAGGTTTTCTAGAAATCCTCTTGATCTTGAGAGTATGTCTGTTGGATTGGATATCGATTTTAACTTATATGAATACACTTTGACTATATCGGGGAAGAACAGAAAAAAATAACTAAAAATCACCTGGCCCATTTGGAGGTGTCCTCAGTAAAATCGGTTTTTCTCAGCGAGGAAAAGGAATTTTAGAAAAAGCTCTTCGTAACTTTGGAACTACGCATCTGACGCATCTAACCATGTAAAAGTATTGGCTCTAGCATCTGTAGAAAAAGCTGTGATAGACTTGCAAAATTAAGTTTCAGTTTTTGAGCATGGGTCTTGAATAATTATTTTATGAGTCGATGGTTTGTTCTAAGAGTGGTTTAAAACCAGTTTCTTATTCAGTTTTCTATGATCTATCAGAAAAACTAAGTTAGAAGATTCCATCTTGTAACATATTTAAAATAGAGAGGAATCTAAGAAAAGTTGCCAAATTGGCTGTTTTCGACACCTTCCGAGTTTTTTCAAATTTTCAACCGGAAAAAAGGGTTAAGAAAACTCAAGGCAAACATATTCTTGACCGCCTTGAAATTCTCTATCGAATGATGTATGATAAGCAAAATAAAAAATTTCACTGCACCTTTGATTCCCGTGCATCTTGCGTACGTGAATAAATCTTTTTCTTAATGGAACTCTTCTATGACAAGCTCGCTCATATTCAAAATATGAATGAAAAATTTCGTAATAAATTTCTAATTAAACAAGCAATGTATGAAGATATTGTATTAACATTGAAGGAGGGATGGGGTTCACCAAAGTTTAAATTCTGGGTAAATTCCAATTTCAAATTAGTTACAATCGAGGAACAACAAATTGTTTATGGTATTATTTTATCTATTTCTTTTCCTGTTCCACTAATAAAGGATAATCTAGTGTGTATTGTTACTTCTATTGACACTGAACTATAGTACATTCCGATTTCCACTATAGTGTAAATTAGAAAAATCTGTATAATTTTATTTCTAGTGGAGTTTGGAATTCCCGGGAATTCCACTATAGGGGAATTCCCCTATAGTGGAAAATAGAATCCCAATTTCCACTAGTTGAAATTAGAATAGTCACTTTATTCTAATTTCCACTAGTGGAGTTTCGAATTCTTCTGAATTCCAATTTCCACTGCCACATTGCCGTGTGTCAAACCCGCATTAAGTCTCAAATTCAAGCACATTATAGTGCATTAACTTTGGATTAACGCAAAATAATACGAATACTCTATTATTTAACGTGATATAATGATAAAATCGTGGAA